TTTAAAGATTATTTAACAAGGTAAGTGAGCTATGCCCGGCCGGTATGGCTCAGTGGTTGAGCATCGACCCATGTACTAAGAGGCCGCTGGTTCGATTCCTGGTCAGGGCACATGCCCAGGTTGTAGGCCCAATCCCCAGTGGGGGCATGCAGGAGGCGGCCAATCAATGTTCTTTCTCATCGATGTTTCTATCTCTCTCTAAAATCAATAAAGAAAAAAAAATGTTTTTAAAAGATAAGTGAGCTATGGATGTGAAAAAGTATACAATGAGCAGGAATAAACAGGCTTTTGAAGACACTAATTGAATTTATAAGTTTTCTACAATTACAGAAATAAACAGTTTGTGCTATTATTATCATACGGTTTACTTCTACATACGTTGTAAGTCACACATTATTATTTCTACTTTAAACAGTCAATTTTTATTTTTTTGTTTTGCTTTTCTAATCCTTACCTGAGGATATTTTTCTGTTTATCTGCAGATAGAGTGGGAAGGAGACAGAGGGAGAAAGGGAGAGACAAACATCAATGTGAAAGGGACACATCGACTGGTTACCCCCCGCATGACCCTGACCAAGGCTGAGGATGAACCACAACCAGGGTACATGCCCTTGGCCACAACTGAACCCACGACTCACTGGTGCACGGGCCGATGCTCTATCAATGAGCCAAACTGGTCAGGGCAATAGTCAAATTTTTTTTTTTTATCCTCACCCAAGGACATTTTTGTCTTTATCTTCAGATAGAGCAGGAGGGAGAGAGGAAGGAAGAGAGAGAAAGAAACATTGATGTGAGAGAGATTTCATGTCAATCGATTGGTTGCCTCCCTCATGACCCCAACCCAGGGCCAGGGATTGAACCTGCAACCCAGGTACGTGCCCTTGACTGGAATTGAACCCATGACTCTTTGGTCTGCAGGCCAACACTCTAACCATTGAGCAAAACCAGCCAGGACTAAAAGAATTTTTTTTTTTTTATCCTCACCCAAGGACATTTTCGCATTTATCTTCAGATAGAGCAGGAGGGAGAGAGGGAGGAAGAGAGAGAGAGAAACATTGACACAAGAGAGACACACTGACTGGTCGCCACCCACATGACCCCAACTGGGACGGGGACAAATTACAACTGAGGTACGTGCCCTTAGTGGGAACCGAACCCGGGACTCTCTGGTCTGCGGGCCAATGCTCCAACCACTAAGCCAAACCAGCCAGGGCTAAAAGAAATTTTTAAAAAGAGAAAAAAGTTATTTGTATTTATTGATATACTTACTATTTCCAGTATGCTTCATTCCTCTGGGTAGATTCAAATTTGTATCTGGTATGATTTTCCTTCAGCTTACAACTTCTTTTAAAACTTCTTCTACTAGATCTACTGGCAATAAATTCTCTTGGCTTTTGTATGAAAATACCTTTACTTCACCTTCACCTTTGAATGCTATTTTCATTGGATATAGAATTCTAGGATAATGTGGGTTTTTTCTTTCATCATATTAAAGATGTTCTGTTTTGCACTGTTTCTGATAGGAAATTTAAAATTATTCTTATTGTTTTCTTATTTTTTATACTATTTTTCTTTATTGATTTTAGAGAGAAAAGAAGGGAGAGGGGGAGAGAGAGAAACATTGATAAGAGAGAACACTGACTGGTAGCCTCCAGCATGCCCCCTACTGGGAACTTGGCCCACAACTTGGGCATGTGTCCTGACCAGGAATCGAACTGACGACCTCTCGCTGCATGGGCTGATGCTCAACCACTGTGCCACAGTGCCAGGGTTTATTGTATTCTTATTTAATGTCTTTTTTCTCAAACTGTTTTATCACTTTATTAACTTTTAATTTGATTGTGATATGCCTTGGTATGGTTTCGTGTTGATCCTGTTTGAAGAATTCCTTGTATCGTGGGTTTGCAGTTTTCATCAGCTATCATTTTATCTGATCCCTTCCTGGCTCCTCTCCTTCTGAGACTCAGATTACATGTTGGACCACTTGATACTGTTCCACAGGTCACGGATGCTATTCATTTCTTTAAACTTTTTACTCTCTGTAGTCTAGTTTTCATAGTCTGCATTGGTATCTTCAATTTCACTGATTTTGGTTTTCTGTAGTGTTTAATCTGCTTGCTAAACCCATTCAGTGAAGTTTTTACTTTATTTTACACCTTTCATCTCTAGAAGTTCCATTTTGCTCTTTTCTGTATCTTCTATTCATCTCCTTATTATGTTCATGTTTTCCTTTAACTTCAACATATTTATATTAGCTGTCTAAAATTCTTGTCTGTTTTCAGTCATCTCTGTTTTTTCTGGGTCTATTTATATTTCCTGATTTTTCTGATTTTGGGTCCCACTTTCCTGCTTCTTCCTAGTAACTGCTAGGTGTTTACATTTTTTGTTCTTCTTTTAAAGACCACTCAGCTTTATTTTGGAAGACAGCTAAATTGCCTGCAGATCAGCTTTCAAGACTTGTTTTTAATAAACTTTGTTGGTGTGGACTTATGGTGGCCTTTAATCTAGGGCTACTTTAGCCTTAATAATAAGGTATGACTCTTCTGGGGTCTCTACTGACCGTCCCAGATGTTCAATAAAGTCTCATTCCTTTGTGGGATCAGAACTCTACCATCTCTCAATTCTTGGTTGGAGCTGGGAATTGCTTAGCTTATAGCTTCCTAGTAGTTGTTCTATCCTCAGTAATTGCTCTTTGCCTAACCACCTGAAATCTCATTCTAAGTATGCAGAGCTTAGTATTCAGCTAAAGATTTAATGGGACCCAATGCAGATATTTAGAGCTCTTTCCTTGGGCAAAGCCCTTCTCTCTGATACTCTGCCCCATAAATTCCAGCCATTGCAGCCTCCCTGATCCCTAATCTGTTACCTCAACTCAGTGAGACCACCATGCTCTGCTTAGAATTCCCTTCTATGTACTATGTATGACCCAGAAAGTTTCTTCAGACAGAAAATCAGGGACACATCAGGGCTCTCCCCCTTTATTTCCCTTCTCTCAGTAATCAAAATTCTGCATTGCCAGTTGTCCAATGTTTGCAAAGAGATGTTTCATAGACTTTGTCCAGTTCTCTTTATTCACAATGAGAGTGCAAGTCCAAAACCCTTACTCCAGCATGGCTGGGAATAGAATTCCTCTTTACAATTCTTTTTTTAAAGGAAATGATACTGGGATATCTTTATTGTATTAATTTTTCTCCAATCATGAAAGTGTTCAAGATCATAAAACTTCAGACATCATCTCTCTGCAAGTCGCCTTAATTTTAAGTGGTACTCAACAATAATTAACTTTATTTATAAATGATTTTCCTCAATTCATAGCCATGCTAAGATAGAGTAGTGAAAATGGAACAGCATTCCTTACTTATGTACAGTGTATTTAATTTGAATTCCATAAAATCATTTATTTATAAGTAGGAAGAAGTTTCTTTAGTTCTTTGTATTTAATGGCTTAAAACATTTTTCTTTTACAATTCTGGTGGTCAGAAGTCTAAAAATCAATGTGTTTGGAAAGACTGTGTTTCTTTTGGAAGCTTCAGGGAAAAAAATCCATTTCTCTGTGTTTTCTAGCTTCTAGAGGCCAACTGTGTTCTTTTTTTTTCTTTTTTCTTTTTTTTTAATCCTCACCCGAGTATATTTTTTCCATTTTTTTGTACAGATAGAGTGGGAGGGAGAGAGAGGAAGGGAGAGAGAGAGAGAGACATCGACGTGAAGGGACACATCGAGTGGCTGCCACCCGCACGACCAACCAAGGCCGGGGACAAACTGCAACCGAAGTACGTGCCCTTAGCGGAAACCGAACCCGGGTCTCTCCGGACCGCAGGCCGACGCTCTAACCGCTGAGCCAAACTGGCCAGGGCCCAACTGTGTTCTTTTTATTTATTTTTTAATCCTCACCTGAGGACATTTTTGCATTCATCTTCAGATAGAGCGGGAGGAAGGGAGAGAGAAACATCGATGTAAGAGAGACACATCTGCCCTGGCCAGTTTGGCTCAGCGGTTAGAGTGTCGGCCTGCGGTCCGGAGAGACCCGGGTTCGGTTCCCGCTAAGGGCATGTACCTCGGTTGCAGTCTGTCCCCGGCCCTGGTTGGTCGTGCGGGTGGCGGCCACTCGATGTGTCCCTTCACATCGATGTTTCTCTCTCTCTCTCCCTTCCTCTCTCTCCCTCCCATTCTATCTGTACAAAAAATGGAAAAATACCCTCGGGTGAGAATTAAAAAAAAAAAAAAAAAAAAGGTAAAAAAAAAAAAGAGAGACACATCTACTGGTCAGCACCCACATGACCCCAACCAGGGCCAGGGACAAACTGCAACCAAGGTATGTGCCCTTTGTGGGAACCGAACCCAGGTCTCTCTGGTCCATGGGCTGACGCTCTAACCACTGAGCTACAGGCCAGGGCCCAATTGTGTTCTTTAGTGCATGGCCTGTTCCTCCAGGTTCAAAGCACATTACTCCAACATCTGATCTAGTACTGTGGTTACTTCTCTCTCACTTTTCCTCAACATATTGCCTCCCTCTTATAAGGACCTTTGTGATGACACTGGACCCACCCAGATAAGCCAGGATTATCTCCTCACCTCACAATATTTAATTTAATCACTTCTGCACAGTCCCCCTTGCCATGTAAGGTACATTCACAGGTTCTGGGGATTAGAATGTGGACATCTTGGAAGGCCATTATTCTGCCTACCACAGCATGTGAGCACCTGCTTTATTTCCAGCACTAAGCTGGGCTCCAAAAAATCAGAAATGAATAAACATGGCCCCTCTCCCCTGAACAGCTGAATTCCAGGCCAGAGAAATATTTAGTTCTAACAAAATATAAAGTTCCTCTGAGTTCATAAAAGTTCAGTTTTTCTTATGATTAGAATGCAAAATAACTAGGACAATTATAAAAAACATAAAAATCAACTGTCTTACAATATGTAGAAGTAGTTTATTTTTATGAACTAATGCAAAATACACCAAGAGAGTAAGAAACAGGAGACATAAAATGATCATTTACCTCTTATTTGCCTGTCAACAACTCTCATTTCCTTTCTTATCTTCAATGACCACTCATTAACCTGGGAAAGATTTTAGAAAAGGAATTATAAGAGAAGCCAACCTCTTAATTCACCAAATTTTAAAGAATTTTAATTAATTCTACATCCAGGTACAAAATAAACCATTTTCAAAACAGTCTTAGGGCAAAAACCATTTTTTAAATCTATTTAATTACAGTACACAGAAGTCCCAAGCTATTCAAAGATTCTTATCTAAAGGTAGGCAGTAAAAACTATTTTGGACAGGATCTCAGATCTCTGCAGTACATAAAGATTTTCCAAGAGTTGCATGGGTGTGGATAGGTTTTAAGGGTATCAAGATTTTCAGCTCCTACAGATAATTATTTCAAACTCTGCTCTGCCTGGGTCACAGAGAGTTCACCTTTTCCTTCTCCTTTTTAACAATGCTTTTTCCTTTCACAAAAGGATAGTCCTCTAATCTGTTTCCTATTTTCCTGAGAGGCAACACTTCTAAAGCAGTATACATAGGACAACTGGAAATACTGGAGAGGTGTTGAGATAGTAGTGAATGACTATCTGACTCTAATGGTTATCTAATTCTTAGGCAAATGTAAAATGTTTTCCAATTCTTCAGTTTCAAAAAAACTGAAGAAAAATTTGAGTTATCAATTGCTAAATCACTAAAACTAAATTTTACATTAAATCACTATGCGCTTTTTGGCATATGACACAGAAATTCAAAGAAATGATTGACACTGACAGAACAGTATGTCCTTACAATCTACTTATTTATTTATTTATTTATTTATTATTATTATCATATTTTTTAATCCTCACCCAAGGATATTTTCTTTCCCCATTTATCTTCAGATACAGTGGAAGGGAGGGAGAGGGTGCGAGGGAGGGAGGGAGGGGGAGAGAGAGAGAGAGAGAGAGAGAGAAACATCGATGTGAGACACATTGAGTGCTTGCCTCCCGCAGGATCCCAACCAGGGCTGGGGACCAAACTGCAACCAAGATATGTGCCCTTGACCAGGATCGAGCTCTCGACCCTTTGATCCGAGGGCCGAGGCTCTAACCGCTGAGCCAAACCAGCCAGGGCTCACAATGAGATGTCTTATGTACACCCACGGCCATGCTATCCAAGGATCCTCTCCAGCTGGTGCCAGTCTTAGGGCACGAGAAAACTGCCAGAGCCCTGGCACACGGCAAACAGGGCAACTGCCTCATCAGATGAAGGGTGCAACCATGCGCTACAATACAAGCTACTGGAGTCTGCCACCTCTGGGCAATAAACGATTAGCTGGTTCTGGGTCCAAGTGAAGGGTGGTGGTCACATGGCCCAGATTTACACAATCTGTCAGTTCACCTCCAAAGCTCTGGTGGCCTAGTACCAAAAATATGTGGACAGGCTTCCAAGAAGGAGATCAAAGACATTCTCATCCTGTATGACCAGACCATTCTGATAGCTGAGCACCTCTGCTGCAAACTCAAAAAATTCAGAGACCTGGTGCCCAAGATCACTACCAGAAATCCTACCAAAAGCCCTTCATAAGGATCAGGGTTCACCTTAATAATAAACAATGGTTATGAGATTTAAGGTTAAAATAATAATAACAATAATAATAGTAATAATAATAAACAGGAACAGAACAGATGCTGAACCCTTTAGCCTTCATTCATGAATATATAAACTAAATGGCATTAAAAAATCCATACCATTAAGAGAAGATGTATTTCCAATAAATTTGACTTTTAATGATTAAATTAAAATCATTAATTAATAAAATCTGTTAAACATTTATTATACAACAACTACAGTAACTCCAATTTTCCACCCAGAAGAAATATTAAAGTACTTAAAGCTGTATGGTTATACAATTAAAGAAATTTTTAATGTTATATTTATATATGTTTTTAACTGAAATTCACATAACATGATTAGCTATTTTAAAGAGTACAATTCAGCATTCGTGCCTTCACAATGTTGTGCAATTACCAACTCTCCCTATCTCAAACTTTTTCAACGTGTCTGAAGAAAACACTACACCCTTTAAGTAATCTCTCCCTATGTCCCTTTCCCCCATTCCTTTGCAACCACTAACCGGCTTTTTATCTCTAGTGATCTGCTTATTTTGAATATTTCATATAAAAGGAATCATACCATTTGGGAGGTTTTGTGTCTGGTGTCTTTCATTTAATATACTGTTTTCGAGGCTCAACTATGTTGTAACATGTACCAATACTTCAGTCCTTTTTATAGCTGAAGTATGTATATACCACAACTTACTTATCCATTCATCAGTTGATAGCTATTTGGGTTGTTATATTTTGGTTACTGTAACATCACTATGAACATTTGTGTACAAGTATTTGAGTACCTATTTTCAATTCTTTTGGGTATATACCTATGAGTGAAACTGCTGGGTCATATGGTAATTCTGTTTAACTCTTTGAGGAACTCCAAAGCTGTTTTTCAAAGGGTCTTCACCATTTGTCAGTCCCACCAGCAATATATAGGGTTCTTATTTCTCCACATCCTTGCTGACAGTTATCTTCTAATATTTTCTATTATAGACAGTCAACTGACCTATTAAGCAGTACCTCAGTTAAGTTGAATATCTCTGTGTGCTTGCTGACTATCTGTATATTCCCTATATTTTTAAGTTCAGTTGTCTTTTTGTTATTGAGATCTTTATATATTCTCATATTTGAACCTTATCAGATATATGATTTGCAAATATTTTCTCCCATTCTGTAAATTATCTTTTCTACTTTCTTGATAATATCCTTTGATGCACAAAAGCTTTTTTTTTAAAAAAAAAAATTTTCTTTATTGTTTTTAGAGAGAGAGGAAAGGAGAGGGAGAGAGAGAAACGGAAACATCGATGAGAGAGAACATCAATTGGCTGCCTCCTGCATGTCCCCCATCGGGAACTGGGCCCACAACCTGGGCATGTGCCCTGACTAGGAATCAAACTGGCAACCTCTTGGTGCATGGGTCAGTGCAACTACTGAGCCGCGCTGGCCGGGCAATGCACAAAAGCTTTTAATTACGATGAATTCCAATTTGTTTTTTCTTTTGTGGCTAGTACTTTTGGTGTCACAGTGAAGAATCCACTGTCAGATAGGAGGTCATGAAGATTTACCCCTATTGTTTTTTTGTCAAAGACTTTTGTTTTTGCTGTTTGTTAATCCTCACCTGAGGATATTTTTTCATTGATTTTTAGATAGACAGGGAGGACAGGAGAGAGAGAGAGAGAGAGAGAGAGAGAGAGAGAGAGACTGGGAATCAAAACATACTCTAACCGCTGAGCCAAACTGGCCAGAGCAAAATTACTTTTATAAATCTAAGTGTTATGAATGTGGAGAAAGTAGACACTTAAATTATGCCTGTCCTAAAAATATGCTTGGAGAACATGACCCTCCAAAGAAGAAAGATAATTCCTGACCGAGAAGAAGAAATGGGAGAGGGAGAAGGAAGAGGAGATGAATGGGAGACGCTGCGCTTGCCAGCCTCAGCCAGGCCATAGGTTTCCAGAAAGCCCCAAACTGAAGAACAAAAACACGGAAACTCAGTTCAGGGGGTCCCTCAACATCAGATGATTCAAGGGGCCCGAGGATAGAGAAAAGCACATATTTCAGTAATGAGAGAGAACTTAGTGATTAAAATTATATTTACTGTGTAAATATAAATATAACAATAAAAAATAAATCTTGGAGTACCAAGTTTAGTTGAGACCAAAGACTACTTTTAGAATTTGAGCATAAAAACACTTAGTATCAAATAATTTTTTACTATAAAATAGTTCATAGGGAATTTAAAATATTTGAAGTATCACATTTCTATCTTGATTTAACAGAGTAATAAAAATCAAGATTGACTAATAACCATTAATATTAAAGTTTACTTGAATTTAAAAATACTATCATAGTAATGCTATTTTCATCCCAAGAAAAATATATTAAAAGTATTTGAGAGTGCATTATAAAAGTTTATTTATGTCTCACTGGTTTATATGAGGACTTTTAAAATAAATTTCATTTTTATTTAATTTTTTAAAAATGTTTTTATTGATTTTTTTAGAGTGACACATCGATTGGGTGCCTCGTGTACGCCCCCCGGAGGGATTGAACCAGCAACCTGGGCTTATGCCCCAACCAGGAATCAAACTGGGACCTCTCGGTAAGGTCAGCGGGCTCCGAGGAGTCACATGACTGGGAAATGGATGGCCAGAGGAGAAATCGAAACCTAACTCCGGATGCTCTGCCTTACCAGGATGTGGCTGAGGGGACACTCCTGGTCACGCCCACCATCCATCCCAGCCAATCAACATAGCCACTCCCAAATCTCCCCAGCAGCTAGCCGGTCACCTGACGCCACACCTAATCACCCCAGCCAGGTCCCTAACGTCCCTGTAAATCTTCACCGGGTGAAAGTAGCACCTTCCTGGCCTCAGCCACGTGGACCAGTGAACCTCACCCAGGAACGCTTCAATAAAACTTTCTTGCCCGCTTTTGCAGCTCCGTTCTCTTTCTTCCTTGGAGAGACACCTTACATTTGGTGCCGAAATCCCGAAGGAGCTTGAGCCTGCCCAGCGCTCCTCTCTCTCTCTCCCGAGGATGACCAGGGACCACTGACCTTCCACCCAGTTCGGCCCACGGTGTGGTAAGTCCCCTGCCTCTGGCCACTCCTCAGTTCTCTCCCGCTCCGGGGCTCCCTGTCCTTAATCGCAGCTGCGTCAGGGACCTCCAACCTGTCGTGGGGTTCCACGGAGAGGTCCCAGAAGCCCCCCACTCTATCCATCCATCCGGTGACGAGAGTGAATTGCAGGGCGCCAATTCTCAACTCCGATCACTACGGGACTGAGGCCCACCATGGACAATCAGGAATCTCAACCAGATCCCAAAATACCTCTAGCCCTGGCCAGATTGGCTCAGCGGTTAGAGCCTCGGCCTGCGGTCCAGAGAAACCCAGGTTCGGTTCCTGCTAAGGGCGCATACCTTGGTTTTAGCTTGTTCCGGACCCTGGTTGGGTTATGCAGGTGGCAATCACTCAG